CACAGCTCAACATATTCTTCAGTTCTTTCTTCAGTGAATAGTTTTAAAGTAATTTAGTTCGTTTGCATACTTGCTTATTTTTGTGTATTGCTTGATACTACTTTATAATATTCAGTAGTCAAAGACATTTTTTAGCAATTTCTGAACGTTTACTGTAACGCTTATTTATTTATCGAGTTAACTAGTAAAGTATTTCACATAAACCAATAGCATTTATTGTGTTCTCTCGGCTTCTCGGAGCTAAGATCATGTGTAATATTGATGTTCATTATTGCACAGAACTATCTTGAATTTTCATCAGAATGTAACAAGTTCCATAATTATGTGCTCCTAATTCCTTCAAGTCAACGTCACAAGTCAAGTCAGTTGCAACGTAGAACTTCGTACGTTACTACATCAGTTCATGTCGCCATACCACATGAGCACAGAGATATAATTGTCAATTCAAATCCAATAGTAGAAGAGGTATTAAGGGAATTAGAAGTAATCGAAGAGGTTAGGATTAGAAGATATTATTGTTCAAGAAGTATGATTCAGTGAGAAAAGTTAAGAAAGTCAAAACTAGAGGTGTTGAAGAACCCAGAAGATTAGGATTTAAGAGAGAACACAAAGAATAAATGCACCGGCACCATTGCGAACGATTTTGAGCCATGTCATTCAAGGTCTCTAACCATCGATTATTATCATCTCGTGGACCCCAACCAGGTAGACAACAATTACCGACATGGCTAAGTCCACTCGTCAATGACTTCATGGATTTCTTCCACGTTTTGGTTTGGTCGGTCTCGCGTGCTGTTACGGGTATGAGGGCGGTTGTCACTTACCGGCTGCCCACACCGTGGAGGGTTGTTTCTTGAAGAACCTGAAAAGGAAGATAGATTAGTGTTGGTCTTAGAGACCTGGGTGCGTGACCGCAGAGCCCAAGGGACAACTGCTTGAGGCTGGTCACGCACGGCCTTTTTATGAAAGGTTTTTGAGGATTAGCTCCGTTCTTAAAGGCCCTTAGTGGGCACCCTTACCGAAGGAGACGGAAATCCGTGAGGTAGGGGAGGTGTGACATTTTTAGGGCCGACCATTTCTAACCCTTCCTTCCTTGTGAGAAGGCAGAATCGCTGCAGATGCTGGTTGTCCGATGGAAACACCTTACTACTTGCTGTCACACCACTCTGCAGTCAGCAGTACGACTTCGCCCTCAGACCTTGTCTAGCTGCTTTTCGTCTGATCGTTCTCCAATCGACCTGTCTGGCATGGTAGGACCTGCAGGAACATATGTTCCAGCCAGTATAACTCGGTTGGGTCATCACGATCGGTAAGCCCGACCACCACGTCAAGGTAGCAGCTACGGTCGGGCCTAATTCCTTCTATGATTATTGAAAAATTATTATTAACGTAAGATATAACAATCAACTAACATTTAAGTCATGGTATTTTGTATATGTTATTGATGTCATTGCTACAAGAAGCCTTTCTATTTTTAAATATACAGAGGAGTTAAGCGACATAGATACATAACGAGTTGAGTTATCCAACCATTCTATAAACATATCTTTACCGTTCTTCAGACAAATTGTTGTTTTTGAACTTCAATTTTATGCATATATCAATGATGTTACTGGATACTTTGATAAAATTCAGACAAAGGTTAATATATTTCAGTAAAGATTCTCGCTAATTGCAGGAATCGAACCCAGTACCTTTTGGTAGCCAGAATTAGCGAGATCCGTGAATGAGCACTGCTGTTGAGTCCTATACCAGAACAAAACGGCCATCAAGTGCTTCCAGGTTTTTAACTGCGATCTTACATTGGTCGATTCATGATCTTAAAGTAACTTAAAAATCTCCACAACCCTATCACGTGCTCACTAGTAACTAGTCTTTTGAGTAAGTATCTGTGGGTTCTAGTGCGAAGTTTCGACCAATGGAATTTGATCCTATTCTAGAGTGAATCACTACTCACCGAAGATAGTTGATAAGGTTGCTTAAGACCGTTAAATGATCAAAGTCAGATATTAACACCGTTGGATTCCAGCTCAGTGGTCCACAGCTTAAGCGTTCACGTGCAAGACTGAAATTCCTGAGTTCGATTCCTGTATGTGACAACTAACATCGAGTTCTCAGATTAAGACAATTGTTAAGTAAATACTCACTGGAAATATATCAACTAAGTGATTCGTCTCCTTGTTATCTGTGTTGTGAATTAAAAAATAACTAACATTTACACGTTTAAAGTTTCACTGAGGATAAAAATACAAAGATGATTCAATTAACTGATGTTTGGGTAAACTCATCATCATTTTCATTTACGCCTGTTACCTCCAATGGAGAATAGGCCGCCCACCAGTTTTCTCCAACCAACTCTGTCCTTGGCTGCTATTTCTAGTTCTTTCCAGTTTTTGTTCATTCTTCTCACGTCTTTTTCTATTTCTCAGAGTAATGTGTTCCTTGGTCCTCCTCTTTTTCATTGACCCTGAGGGTTCCATGGGAAGGGTATGTCTTGTGACGTAGTCGGGTGCTTTTCGCAGTGTATGTTCTATCCGCAAACTCCAGCGCTTCTTCCTGATTTCCTCCTCCACTAGAATCTGGTTCGCTCTCTCCCACAGTAAGTTGTTGCTGATAGCGTCTGACCAACGGATCCGAAGTGTTCATAAATTGGGTAAACTAGGTCCTTAGAAATTACTAGGTAAACTTTTTAATTTTTCACCCACCTTGAATGACCTTAAACGTCATTGGTTCATCTCCATTTTTAATAAGCTATTTCGTTGTAAGGCATTGCAAACCTTACTCTAACAACCTGTAGAGTTCCCCCTGTTCTTCCTTCCAGTTAATCTCATACGCTGCTCCTCACACACCAGCCCCCAGAACACAAAGGTACCTTCTGGCTAAATGTAAACCAATCGAAGGCTGAAGTTACATCGTGACTCTTTCAAGGACGTGTTTTGTATTCTATAAATATTATGCATGCATTGAGTGCTTCTTGTTGGTTGCTCATTTCGCGCACCTTGTGGATTATACAATTTGTTACGCCTGCACGTAAACACGTCATTTTGATATGCTTGAACTATTACCAGTTTACCTAGTCAGTAAACGAGAGCGAGGATCGAGGATCCAGCGACACGACATGCTACTCAAATTCAATTATCCCAACCCCCATATTGAGTAAAAATAAGAAGACGTGATATGAAGTAGAAACTGTATTCTACAAGTATCCAGAAAGTACGATATCCGAATCCAGAAGAGAATCAGGATCCCAGACTGGGGATCCAGGACCGGGTCCTGGTCCTAGTACTGGTCATAAAACGTTACACGTTATGCGTATTTATACATTTTGGTCGAATAGGAAACAGTATCGAAGTCTGTGACATTGATAGTTAAGACGACTAATAAGAAGCAAGCTTTGAAGTGACATTGATAGTCAGGACAACCAATAAGAAACAACATTGGAGTAAGTGACATTGATATCAATAGGACGATCATAAAATTGACCAGTAGGAATTAACCAATAATTCACTTAGAATATTGGATGAATATCCTAACGCAATTCTTCCCGCTGACTCTGAACTTCTTTCTCTAGTTACACTTAGACTCGGATGTCGAGGCACAATGCCTATCTTTCTTTGTCTTGCTTACTGATGATTGATTGACTGTAACCTCGTATTTTCATAACAAGACAAATAAATTCCTTTGTAGTGAACGAGAACACAGGTGAGGGCAACCGGATTGTATTTAACGAAAATTACAGAGTTACTCAGTAAAATCGGAAAACCATTTGGTAAATCGTTAATTTACAAAATATCAATCCATCATATCGAACTGGACTGTTCCTGTTGCAAAACATCATCAATCCATTGTCACTAATCATGCGTTTCATACACAAATTCCATTGTGTTCCCACTCTTCTTACTTTCTTGATCTCCCCCCACATCTTCTGCTGCCAGACATTACGTTTTCTAACTCGCATCATATACTACTTATAAGTAGCTCGCACCACACCTTCAACAAATTAAAACTAATTCTAATCTACTAACTGATAATTTTTTTTAGTAAAAAATATGACCCTTTTTTTGTATGTAACCTAACACAGAACAACAATAATAGTAATTAATATTAAAACCGAATCAATAATTGAACAGAAAAAAAACGCGTTACATCATTAATTTCAAATTGTTCAATAATCAATAACATAGTCATCACAATAAATGCATCATCATAATGTTTATTTAAAAATCATCTGTTTCAGTTCAACAATCTCAATAGTTTGATATAAAGAAATTAAGTTAGTTAAGATACAAAATAATAATATAAACCAGAGTAGTAAGTAGTACTTAGTGTTTGAAATTCATTTAAACAAACAAATAAATAAATGATGATTGACACAATTGAACATTGAATGGTGTTCAATGTTCAAACTCTTCTTGGCCTTTTTTCTAAAGACTTCTACTTGAATTGCATATGTAATAATAATAATAATAATCGTTTTTTTTAAGAAGGCAAGTGTATATAATTTATATTTTTCAAAGATTACACAAGTTTATTTCATTATTCAATATTCAATAGTTCTATACACCATGATGTGAATTAAAAATTTAAAAACACTGATTTGTATGTGATATATTATTCAATTATTTATAACTTGGAAACTAAGAATTTTTGTTTTAAAACAAAGAGAGAGCAATACATGTAAATCTGTAGTTGAATGACGACTGCATGTTGTACTGTAACAAGTTATATATAGTTAGTTGTTGGTTGTATTAGATTTAGAAATGACCGGCAATTTGAATATGAAGCGATGATTTATGATGATCAGTTGATAAGAAGGCAATGAGATTGCACCAAACACCAGTTATTTTGATTCTCAAAACAAACTAACTAAAAAGTGTGTCGACAGAATTTGTAAGAAACTTGTTTGAGTGTAATACTGTTTGTTGAAAATCTTTGAAATTGTTGATCAGATTTCATACACACTCTCTCTCTCACACACACAAACACATACACATGTGAATTCATTTCAACGGTTCTTTACAATGATAACAAGCAGCCATTTCTTCAACGTACAACTCTAATTGTATAGTCACATCATGTGCTAAATAACGTTGTTTTAATAAATGATTTGCTTGTTTTAAGATTTCTTGACTATTTGTATCATTTTCTATAATAGAAATAGAAATAAAAATTGTAATTAAAAACAATTTTTTTGTTGAATTAAGTTGGTGGTAGAAGTGTGTTTTTATGTGGCTCATTGATAAAAGGTTATTCGTTGAGCTATGTTAGAGTGTCATTAGAAACCTGAGAGCACTGGATGACCGTTTCATCCAGTTTATCCACGAACCCCACTTGTGAGAATTGAACACCGGACGTTTGATCTTGCTCGCGAACAATTAACTTGTACACAAGTCGGCCAGTAACCATTGTTGGCAATGTTCAAATTTAACCAATCTATCATATTGTGTGACTTCGGTAGGTTAATGCCGTGACCAGTGGAATTTACTTGTGTAAAGTGTGAGGTAGTGCGATAGTGGATTGATTAAAGCTAGGTCGACTGAGTGATCTAGAGGTTAGGCGTTCGTGCGCAACACCAGAGGTCCTGGGTTTGATTATTGCAAGTAGGTGTTGTGGATGCATATCACAGATAAGTCTCTCATCCTACAACGAAACGGTCATCCAGTACTTCCAGGTTTCTAATGGTGGGCTAACATTGATTGACTCGTAATTTTGATGAAACTCAGTAATCTCCATTACTGTATAATGAAAGCAGATCATGAAGTATCGGATAGCCTTAGTTTGAATCCTGAAGTTTTCATAACCAGTCTCTAACATAGGTATAGATCAAGACAAAAGTCTTCTTGTGACAATCATAGGGGAATAAGTCTAACTAATATAGTTTCTAAATTGTTAGCCTCGATTATACTTAGACGTCTAACTAGAGCTCATGAAGAGCAGACTAGAGAAAATCAGGCTGGTTTTCGACATGGACGTGGTTGTATAGATCACATTTCCACCCCACGACAGGTCCTGGAACACAGACACACATTTAGGCGTTCTACAATAGTTGTTTTCCTGGACCTTAAGGCGGCATTCGACTCAGTGGATCGTGAGGTTTTGTGGCAGTGTATGTCATTGAAAGATGTACCAAAGAAGTATATTATACAAGCCCTCTACTCGAAAACTACAGATTGAGTGAGAGCTTATGGAGAACTATCATCGGAATCGATTACTTCAAGTGGTGTCCGTCAGGTATGTCCACTTTCTCCAGATGTCGAATACCTAGTTGGGGCCTGCGAGATGATAGTAATCAATGGTTAGAGAACCTGAATGACATGGCTCAAAACCGTTTGCAATGGCTCAGGTGCATCCACTCTTTGTGTTCTCTCAAATCCTAATCATCCGAATTCCTCATCACTTCTGCCTCTCTCTGTATAAATTTACCTCACTGAATTATACCTCTTGAATTATATCTTCAAACTCTAATCTCTAATTATATACCTTTACTACCCCTACTACAATGGGATTTGAATTGACAATTATATCTCTGTGCTAATGTGTGGTATGGCAACTTGAACTGATGTATGTACGTACGTACGAAGTTCCACGTTACTGTTGATTGATTGATTGAACTAATAATCAGTATAGTAGACTTTATTAGTTATGTCTCCCTACTGGTAATTCTGTAAATCGATTCCAAACTCAGTTACTGATAAACCTAATCATCATTGTATGTTCTGTAAATGATCATAAGTTCCTCACTACGGTACATCCATCACTTGAGAAAACAAAACCTTCGATCTCTCGCATGAATATTTCATCTCCAGATTCACGAAAACTTTCCAATCTACATAAATCTATAAACATATTTCACTTACCAATAGCTAAATGTACTGAGACTGCAGTTTTATTAGTAGTTAAACTCCACATATGTAAATTATGAATTTCTTTCACACCAGGTATATTGATTAATGCCGTTTTCACTTCATTAAAATTCAATCCACGTGGTGTAGCCTCCATGAGTACATTTAAAGCATCACGTAATATATTGATTGTGGTTATAAGTACCAGTATGGAGAAGAGAAATGTACACAGTGGATCGATAATTTTATATTTTGGCTTCAATTTAGGCAAGCAGGTAGGTAGGTAGGTAGGTAGGTGGGTTTAAAATGTTTGAAAGTCAGGAAATGAAAAACACAATCATGAGTTAAGTGTATTGATCGATAAATTGAGATAAGGGAAACAAAATCAAGTGAAATTTATAATTACAGAGTTAATTGGTAAAATAGAAAAACCATATCGTAAATCGTTAATTTGCAAAATATCAATCCATCATCCATCGAACTGGACTGTTCCTGTTGCAAAACATCATCAATCCATTGACACTATTCATGCGTTTCATACAAACTCCATTGTGTTCCCGCTCTTCCTTTCTTAATCTTTCCCCATCTTCTGCTGCCAGACATTACGTTTTTTTACTCGCGTCATATACTACTTATAAGTAGCGCGCACCACAGTTAGAAGTAATCGATAGGAAATTATCAATCTTTGGTTTTGTACCATTCGGAATTAGTCAGCAAGGTGTATATACCTCTGGTGCTTTTTAGGGAATTGATGCCCTCTGACCTTGAAAAGTGATGAATTTTGAAAAAATCATGTATGCTTTTAAACCTATAGCTAGATGTAGGTGTTGCTTGAAGAGATTTCTGACATAGAACATCTAACCATATAAACACTAGTACAAAGGGATACATAAATATTTATGCTCCACACAGCTCAATGAATTTGCATGTTGTTTGGGGCATATTTTTCGATCGCTGAAACCGAAGTAAAAGGTTTTCTTAGAGGATTAGTCAATGAACCTGTGAACTAAAGGTTTAACGCTAGGAGATGCAGTTCCATGATAACTGGTGACCAATTCTACTCTGAAGATGTTGAGGCCCATGTGCACCATTGGTTTTTCCCGTCATGGTTTCCTAAATCCCTCAGGTAGATACGTCACACGCACCAATCCACTTAAGCCACCAGACAGTCAGTTTTCATCCTGTCAATATTGGAAACAACAAGACATTGAAAAGGATTTGCCTGACAGTAACTATTTATGCCTGACCATAAGGAGTGGGAGATCGGACTTTTCCCTCTCTCAAATATAACAGCACAGGTACTTGGAACCAAGCCGACAGGTGGAGACTTATCCATAAGGAATGACAAAAACACTAGCTACAATCTTTGGAGATGGTGCGAAATTCGTCAACGAGACTTAATAAAACTCATTTTCTATTTTCCTCTTAATCGTAAGCGAAATCATTGGTAACACTTTATTTCTGATGTTTAAATGTCAGTCACTAATATCATCCTTCACTATAATAATGAAAAATACAAGTTTAGACGATCAACGTAGTTTAAACAACAAACAAGGATTGCTAGCAAATATTAACTTGTTCAAAATTACGCAAGTCAAGGCCATCCACTACAGACGATGGATAAAGATTGTACATGCAACACTATGCGTTAATTCAAGTTGGATACCTGTTAGGATATTCATCAATTTATCCTAAGAGAATTATTTTTGTAAGTCTAATTCTATTGGTCAATTCTTTACTGGTCAATATGATGGTCGTCCTAACTATCAATGTCACGTATTTCAATGTTGTTTCCTATTCGACCTAAATGTATAAATACACATTATCTATAACGTTTTATGACCCGGAATCGGACACGGATCCTCAGTCCGGGATCATTGCCTTCTTCTGGACTCGGGACTTCGTACTTTCTGAATGCTTGTAGAATGCATGTTCTACTTCATATCAAGTCTTCTTATTTTTACTCATTTGGGGTTTGATACAATCGGATCATCGATCCTCGCTCTGGTTCACTGACTAAGGTAAACTCGTAACAGTTCAAGCATTTCAAAAGACGAGCATAACAATGACGACTCAGTGGTCGTAAATGAGAAGTAAATTCCTGAGTTCGATTCCTGAATGTGCACTGCCACTGATGTGATCCGTACTAGAGACGAAACATCCGCTCACTACTTCCATGTTTCTTCCTAATATTAGTCACAATAAAAACGAGTTAATAAGCTTAAACACATCAATACCAACCAAAAAATAAATTAAATCATCTCTCATATTACTTGAAAGTATATAATGATTGCAGCAATTAAAACTCCAATACTTTGTAATAAATCACCAATCACATGAATAAATGCTGCACGTACAGTTATATTAGGACGATTCAATTCTTTATGTATATCATTATTGATTTCATGTTCAATATGATGTGTAGTAGTAGTACTTGATTTAGTGATTTGAATTTCTGGAAATTTTATTAAATTTGAATTGCTGTTATAATTATCAGTAGTATGCGTATGACCACCAGTGGATGATGATGTTGATGATGACGTTGATGATGAGGGCGATGTGTGATGAGTGTGACCATGATCATGTAATGTAAATAACATACTGAAAGAGAAATAAGGAGAATAATGTGTTGTTTTTATGTTAAATGTTAACTAATAGTTTATAGTAATCATTCAGATTGATAGCTATACTGAAATTTGATTGATAGTATTAGAGTAACTATGACTGTCTTAAGGTGGTAGCCAAATACCTCGTTATCTAAGGGTATTAGGGGTGTTTGGGTCTGTTCGCATCAAGCTTTCTGTTACGCCTACACGTAAACACGTCAACTTGATATACTTGAACTATTACGAGTTTACCCTTTAGTCGGAAAACGAGAGCTAGGATCGAGGATCCCGCGACACGACATGCTACTTTAATCCGATTATCCCAACCCCCCATATTGAGTAGAAATAAGACAAGACGATATGAAGTAGAACGTGTATTCTACAAGCATCCAGAAAGTACGAGGTCCGAATCCAGAAGAGAATCGAGATCCCGGACTAGGGATCCGGGACCGGGTCCTGGTCACAAAACGTTCCAGATAATGCGTATTTATACATTTTAGTGGAATGAGAAACAGCATCGAATTCTGTGACATTGACAGTTAAGAGGACCAATAGGAAGTAACATTTGAAGTGTCATTGATAGTCAGGACAACCAATAAGAAACAACATTGGAGCACATGACATTGATATCTACTAGGGCGACCATAAAATTGACCAGTAGTAATTAACCAATCGGAATTGACCAATAGTTCCCTTAAGATGTTGGATAAATATCCTAACACTATCCTACGCCATATATGTGTATGGTGTGCTCGGTCCTATACGTTGACGTGTATAAATGGAGCCTTTTAAGGGTTGTGTTGACGACTACCTCATCGTTGTCCCGCTATAGACGTGGTTGTTGTAACATCGCTGCGGCTAAAATCGTTCCAAACGCTTAGGATACTTTGCCTAGCATGGTTCAGAATAACGGTACGTGTTTGTGGTCGTTAGGCCGTGGATGCGGATTTGCCACTGTGGGGGAACTAGGACTGACGTCCAGTGAGGACTTTTCTTCTGTCATTCCGCTTGTAACAAATACGTTGAAATAGACATGGCTTTCCAGCTTTTTTGAAGGAGGCCCTAGATGGTTTGTTTGAGGAAGCAGCCGTAAAGATCTTGGACCCTATGTGGTTGACCCGAACTTTCTGCATCTCGGTGCAGTGTGTCATCTTAAAGAATGATCTCCAGTTGGATTATGGGATCCTATGCTGAAGGGGTACTTGATCGCAAATGATGTCTGCACACTTATGTAGTGGGATTAACCCTGCATGGCTGAGTGCTTGAGCTTGGTCGAGTTCATGACATCTACCCCATGGGAGGGTGTATGCTCTGGCTGACCTTGTGGGACAAACTCGACCTTTGGCTTCACGTAGGGTTTTGAGGGCTCTTTCGATTGTATCAACGCAAGGCAATTGGAGGCTAGACAGCTGGAATGGTTGCTGGTTAGTGCACTGCTGAGTGGCTTGGTAACCTGTGCAGGGTTACAGGTACAGCTAGGCGAACCCGCCTTGCTGCTCATACCGATTGGGGACTGTGGGTAGTGGACTGGTTGGAGGGATCGAAATGATTCATAAGCACCCACACGGAGGTGACCGTTCGTGCGTAAAATGATCGGATGTGCGACTTTCTTGCCAGACAATCTGGACAACGTGTTCGTTCTCGTATGGGGCACGGGTGATCACGAACCGACATTCTTGAGAATCCTTCCGTTGACTAAAAAGCAGCGGCGTGCATGTGCAGCAAGCTTGTTGGTTGACCAAAACGTATAACTTTCTTCCTTACGCCTGTTACCCCTAATGGAGCATAGGCCGCCGACCAGTATTCTCCAACTCACACTGTCCTGAACCTTCCTTTCCAATCCCATCCAAGATCTGTTCTTTCTTTTCATATCTGTATCCGATTCTTAAAGAAATGTGTTTCTTGGCTTTCTTCTTATCCTTTGGCCCGTAGGTTAATAGAACAAACGACATGGAGAAATTCGAATACTTCACTTATATCTAAAATGTGTCCTGATGATTGTTCATTGTTCAGAAGGACAATGAAAGCTAAACAGTCAAAACATCCAGTTCAGTGAACGATCAATATTGGATCACCATTAGAAACGTGGAAGAACTGAACTACTGTTTCCTCCTAGTAAAGGACTCGTTAGCAATTCACATCTACGCCCCTATCAGGCAGGAAAAAAACTCAGGATCTTTGGGTCTCAAGTGTGCACTCTTAGCCCGTAGACTACTGAGCCGGCATCCAATAGTGAAAAATGTTTACCTTTAGTGAATTCACGATAGTGCACCTCATCCGTCGTGTTGATTGGGTGACTGTCTCATACCCGACACGGATTGAACTCTACTTTCCATAGCTTCTCACAAGAGTTTCTAGATTTCCTTCATGAATCAAGTCACCAGTGAATACATGATAATTATAACTTACCGATTGATAAAGTCTTATCTTAACGCAATAAAATAAATAGGTCAATATCACTGAATAAAATGGTTGCCCCCTTAAATATGGTGGTGTTTGATATAATTTAATCGAGAAATTTATCATAAAACAATTATCACATCAAAATATTAACACAATTCATGTTAGAAATCAATGATTACTTTGATTTCCTTATTTTTCTATCAAAGGTGATAATAAGAAATGACATTATTTGATAAATTTAATTGATAAGGTGGAAAATTTGAAACAAATCACAAAATCAATTTGAACATTGATCACTGAAAAATTAGACTGAGGAGTCCCATACCAGGACGAAACGGCAGTCTTTCAGTGCTTCCAGGTTTCTAATTACCTGTGCTTACTAGTGACTAGCTTCGTTAGGAATCTTCTCCGAGTTCTAGTGGAAAGACGTGACCAGTGAAGTTCAACCTGTTCGGGTGTAGGCAGTGTCTACCGAAGACTGTGTATGAGGTTGCGCAACTCCGTGAATTGATTGAGGTTAGACATTAACACCGTTAGATACCGGCTCAGTGGTCTGACGGTTGGGGCGTTCGCTCACAATACCGAAGTTCCTGGGTTCGAATCCCGCGGGGTGCAGGAGTCGTGGATGCGCACTGCTGAGTAGTCCGATACCAGCACGGAACGGCTGTCTTTCGGTGCTTCCAGGTTTCTAATGGTTGTGGTCTAACATTGATCGATTCATGGTTTCAAAAATAGTTAAACAAAGTTAACAAATACTTTAAACAACTCACTACTTACATAATATTCACACCAACTCCAGTAGCTGATGTAATCAACATTATTTTACCATTGATCTCATAATTACTATGTATGATACGCATCACAGCCAAGTACACTAGGATACCAGTAACAAGCCATATTAGTAGGACAGAAGCCAATGCACCGACAACCTCTTGAATAAAAGAAAACAGACACACACACACACTTTTCAGCGTTAATCATTCACATTGTGTAAATCTGTAGAGAAAGTGAATTTCTATGGAATAATTGACTTATTCAGCGTGTTCTTCATGTTTGTTGTTTATACGATAGGTGAGTGTTACGCTTGCACGTCAACTTGATATTCTTGAACTATTACGAGTTTACCTAGCAGTCGGAAAACGAGAGCGAGGATCGATGATCAGGTGACATGACATGCTACTCTAATCCGATTATCCCAACCCCCGTATTCAGTAAAAAATAAGAAGACTTGAATGTGAAGTAGAACATGTATTCTACAAGCATCCAGAAAGCACGAGGTCCGAGTCCAGAAGAGAATCAAGATCCTGGACTAGCGACCCGGGACCGGGTCGTGATCCTGGTCATAAAACGTTACAGATAATGCGTATTTATACATTTTAGTGGAATGAGAAACAGCATCGAAGTCTGTGACATTGACAGTTAAGATGACTAATAGGAAGCAACATTTGAAGTGACATTGATAGTCAGTACAACCAAGAAGAAACAACATTGGAGTACGTGACATTGATATCTAGGACAACCATAAAATTGACCAGTAGGAATTAACCGATAGGAATCGACCAATAATTCTCTTAGGATATTGGATGAGTATTCTAACAGTGAGCAATAAGGAGAACTAGAATGTGCTAGAAGGCTTATTGTTAAAAAGTGTGTTCCAGATTTAATCTAAGGCTGATAGACTGGCAGGAATATATATGACAATGATGACTTTGATTAGATGCATAGGTGTTTTACTCGTCAGTTGATATGTTTGAACAATTACGAGTTCGCTTTAGTCGGTAAACGAGAGTGAAGACAAATGATCCAGTGACAAGATAGGCTACTCTAATCCGAGCGTCCCACGGCCCTTCTAACGGTATCAAAAAGTCTTAATATGGCATAGAAAATGTATTATACAAGTACCAAGAAAATATGAGGTTGACAAGCACACAAATTGAGCTTATTTATACATGATAGAAACGTCCTTGGGAGAGCTACAAAAATAGCGTACTAAAATAACACATCAACCAATGACAGTCAAGGATTTTCAGAGTGAGAACTGTAATCTCAAGGTCGAATCATCAGCCTAATTTAGGACCTTTACCAAGTGAGTTCTGAGGATCTAACGTCCCTGACAATAGGCCACCAACCATACCTGGTTTGGGTTTTCTCTAGCGAGTTTGTTATCTATGAGATTGGTGTGCTAACCCCATGCCCAACACAACTCCCGTATCCGGACTTGGGACCGAAAGTAACCCAAGAAGTGCTCGAGGCGGAGTTTTCCATAACAGTTAACATACATTTATCTTTTTTATAAGGCAACTTGAAAAGTCTACCTAGTGTATCACGGTTTCTTGAATAGTAAAACCTACTTTTCGAGTTTAACTTTGCGAGCTGAGATTTGGACATCGAAATGACCGGATATTTGTTCATACTGCAACAATGGTTGATTTGTTGAGTTACTCTCATTAATAGACCTGCAATAACTTGACGGCCGCTTCGTGCTGCTATGAGACTCATCAGAAGTACGCATCCGTGACTTCCGCAACCTTCGGCAACCTAAAGGTCCTTGATTCGATTCCTCGGAGTAGCTGGATTCATGGATGTAGACTTCTGATGAGTCCCAAAGCAGGTTTTTAATGATTGTACATTCGGTTCTTGATTTCAAAGTAACCGAACACAATGCGTCAAATCTAACGAAAAAGATTTAGGTTTCATTGAGTTCTTACATAAAGGATTAGTCTCAAAGTAGGCATACAAAAAGCATAGACAAAAATCTGATAAGCACTAGTTAGTCTTTAGTGGTTCATTATGTAACTTCAAACGATGCCCATCTTCCGTAAGTGAACAGACAATTAAAGATTAAGTTAGATGAATTTATTTCACGCACCCGTTTGTACAAACAGACATTTGGATAAGCGGGCGAGAAAACAAAGCTAGGCGGTACGCCAGCTCCATTTGATAAGGCATGACTTACTCTACTTATAACTAGACAAAACAGGTTAAAGATATGTGATGAACAAAGTGAGTGATATGCACACATGCGCCTAAATATAAAAATATAATCCAGGATACAAGCGTGATAAAAATGCCCTCCGAACAATAAATTAAGTGATCTATCCGAAAGCTAGAATAAAAGAACTAGGCTTGGAAAAGTAGTACACATTTTGACTCATATGATCTAACCTTTCGACAAACGCCATTCTTGAAAATCATCTATGTTAATAACATAAAGTTTTCAATTAGAGTTATGGAGATTAGTGTATTTACACATTTGAAATTATCAATCAATCATTGTTAGACCACCGAAAGCACTGGACGGCCGTTTCGTCCTGGTATGGGACTCATCAGTAGTAACTAACAAAGGCAAATGGGTGAGGTCGCGCAAAATCCCTAGATCAATCAGAGTTAGACACTAATACCACTCAATACCGGCCCATTGGTCCAGAGGTTAGGCGTTCGCACCCAAGAATAAAGTTCGCGGGTTCGAATCCTGCGAGGTGCAGGAGTCGTGGGTGCGCAATACCAGTGACGAGTCCCATACCAGGACGAAACGGCCGTCTTCTGGTGCTTCCAGATTTCTAATGGTGGTCTAACAATGATTGATGATTTCAAATGTATAAAAACATAAAGTTTATTGAATAAGCCAGCAAAATAGAATAACGAATCGTATTTCAATATCATAATCTTAAAGTAGCTCTTTATTATTTCACAAAATGGCTACTACTCACATTACTACTATTACAACTCACACTACTACTCCTACTACTACTGTGGTGCGAGCTACTTATAAGTAGTATATGACGTGAGTGTCAACGTAATGTCTGGCAGCAGAAGATGGGGGAAGATCAAGTAAGGAAGAGAGTGGGAACACAATGGAATTTGTATGAAACGTATGAATAGTGACAATGGATTGATGTTTTGCTACAGGAACAGTCCAGTTTGATATGATGAACTGATATTTTGCAAATGAACGATTTACGATATGGTATTTTGGGATTTTACTGAGTAACTCTGTAATTTTCATTAAATACAGTTCGGTTGCCCTACCTGTGTTCTCCTTCTTTACACTACTACTACTTCTCACACTACTACTATTTACTACTTACCCGCACGATACCAACCAAAACTCATACGTTTCGTTGATGGTTTTGAAGCTAGAAATAGCGCTAACAAACTGATAAGGAAACTAGCAAAATCCGTTAATAAATGCGCTGCATCTGTCATTATAGCCAAACTATGAGCTAATGCACCACCTGTAAAAAATAGGAAAAATATGAAAATGCAGATAAGTTAGAGAATAAAGGCATGAAATAAAAGTATAAAAGCTTAAAAGAAAAACCTTTTCAGACTTTTCATCGATTTTGAATAATCCCTTAGGCATGGAAGCAATGGACGGCTATTTCTTGATGGTATAGGACTCATCAGTGGCAGTGGGCATTCACGACTTCTGCTACTCGAAAGATTTGAAACAGGTTTCTAATTGTTAGGATATTCATCCAATATCCTAAGAGAACTATTGGTAAATTCCTATTGGTTCATTCATACTGGTCAATTTTATGGTCATTCTAGATATCAATGTCACGTGCCTCAATGTTGTTTCTTATTGGTTGTCTTAACTGTCAATGTCACAGACTTCGATGCTGTTTCGTATTCGTCCAAAATGTATAAATACGCATTATCTGTAAGGTTTTATGACCAGGACCAGGACCCGGATCCCTTGTCCGGGATCCTGATTCTCTTCTGGGTTCGAACCTTTACTTTCTCGAGGCTAGTAGAATACAGGTTCTACTTCACATTCAAGTCTTATTATTCTTTACTCAATATGTGGGTTGGGATAATCGGATTTGAGTAACATGTCGTGTCGCCGGATCCTCAATCCTCGCTCTCGTTTACTGAATAAACTCGTAATAGTTCAAGTATATTAAGTTGACGTGTTTACGTGCAGGCATAAAACTAATGATGGTTTAACAGTGATTGATTAATGATTTCCAAAAAATGTAACTGAACAATCTTCACACCTCTATAATGCGAATTACATGTACTCAATAGTGACCAGCTTCAACGAGGAAGTTTCTCTGAGTTCTAGTGAGAAGACGTAACCAGTGGAGTTCAACCGTGTTCAGGCGTAAAGTAGTGCTCAACAAAGACAATGGATGAGGTTGCACAAGATCGAAGTTTCTGGATAAGAATCCAGAAAGTTTCAGTAGTCCTGTTGATGAGTCCCATACTAGGATGAAACGGTTGTCCAGTGCTCCCAGGTTTCTAATAGTGGTTTAACATTGATAGTTTCCTGATTTAAATAAAATGTAATCCTTTAAACAACATTTCTGATGCAAGGGAAACTGTTGTTATGTGTGGTGTCCGATGTCTGAACGCGATACATGCTAGCCCTTCAAACTGACTACCTGAATGAGAAAGCAAGGCCGGAATATAAAGTCAATTCTCCCAGATATATACGTATATTCCAGCTCCTTAGAATGATATGTTTTTGTTTTTTAGGACATTTTCTGTCGGTCATCCAATGGTCTTCGTATTAGGTCACTTCTGATTAGCTCAATATATCAGTAAGTGTTAAATGGTTGCTTTCTAAAACTCCTTATACAAACTACATCTCCTACCAGTTGGCTTTGAACAAACATGCAATATCTACATTCTAGATAAGAATGATGCTTACTATGCGATTCAAAACCGATGATACTGTTAGTAGTGTATTTGAATTGAGTCTAGTCTGTCATTGAATTTCGCTATAACTGTTTAGATAAACCTTTTGAAATCATGAATCGATCAGTGTTAGACTACTAATAGAAATCTGGAAGCGATCACTGGACGACCGTTTCGTGCTGGCATGGGACTTATCAGTAGCAAAGCGTACGCACGAATTCTGCAACTCCCAGTGTGGTGCGCGCTACTTATAAGTAGTATATGGCGACAAAGTAAGGCACGAAATTCCACTAAAGAACGAGCAAGTTACCATATTTACAACACGTCGGGTGCCTGTACATTTGGAGGCGGAGATAAAAAGACAGATACAAGAGATGTTGGAAGAAGGCATAATTGAAGAAGCAGACAGCCTATATAGCTCGCCAGTGCTCTTAGTGAAGAAGCCGAACAGAAAATACAGATTTTGTGTAGACTTCAGAGAACTTAACGACATAACTGAAATAAAACCATGTGCAATGCCCACTGTGGAGGAGACCTTGAATCGGCTGAAGAACGCCAAACTGTTCACAGTACTGGATTTACGATCAGGGTATTGGCAACTGCCGATAAAAGAGAGTGACTGAAATAAAACAGCATTTACTGTACGTGATAAGCAGTAACAGTTCAGACGAATGCAGTTCGGGTTGGCAGGTGCACCGTTTACATTCAGAAGATTAATGATGCTGCTGCTCAAGAACCTAGAGAATGTTGAGGTGTATGGCGACGATGTAGTGGTGTACAGCCGAACAGAAGCGGATCATGTTAACGATGTGTAAGCTGTCCTAAAGCGGATTGAAGAATTCGGACTACGAATTAATAAGGACAAATCACAAATAGCGAAAAGTAGTGTCATCTTGTTGGGGCATAAAGTTGGAAATGGAGAAATAAAACCGTTGCCGGAGAAAATCAGGAAAGCTGCTCCCGAAATGGGAAGGACCGTACATTGTTATTGAGAGACGTGGCTCTGTTTACACGATACGGAAAGGAGACAATCAAAAATGCGTGAATGCCAGTCAACTTCAGAGGTGGTTTCAAGATTATCAAGCGTGTGAGTCACGGAAAGCACCAAAGAAGACAGCGGTACGGCGATCAGAAAGACTACGACGACAGCTTATTAAAAGGGGGGAAGAGTGTGGTGCGCGCTACTTATAAGTAGTATATGACGCGAATGAAAACGTAATGTCTGGCAGCAGAAGATGGGGGAAGATCAAGAAAGGAAGAGTGGGAACACAATGGAATTTGTATGAAACGCATGAATAGTGAAATGTCAGGCAATGGATTGATGATGGATTGAAGGTTTGCAAATTAACGGTTACGATATGGTTTTCCTATTTTACCAATTAACTCTGTAATTTGTGGTAAACACAATTCGGTTGCCCTCACCTGTGTTCTCCTTCACTACACGAGGACCGCTGATCCTACGCGCAAATGCCTAACCCCTGGACCATTGAGCTAGTATCTAACGATGTTAAATGTCTACCTTCGATTAATCCACGATGGTCTTGCACAACCTCATCCACTAATAGTGGGTTTAACATTAAACGATTCATGATTTCAAATAAAAGTAACTCATATGATTTTGAGATGGTGGAAAAGATTTGTAGCTCAGGTGGATGATTGTAGTGGTGGTGGTGTTTGGTTTTCTGAGCTGGATGTTTTGGTTATGGAGCTTTCATTGTTCTTCTACTGAACAACATCATCATCAGCACAAACTTCAGATAGAAGAAGTGAAGTATTCGAATTTCTCCATGTAGTCTGACCTGTAGCTTCCTAGGATAAAGAACACTAGGGAATTTTCAGAAGCTTGACATTCAGGTCAATCAGAAATCAACAAACACATCGACATTGACCCAATTTATCAGCCAATCAGGAAAATCATAGGTGACATAGGATCAAGAAACAGATCAAAAGGGGCGGATACAATCAAAACAAAGGTGCAAACAACGACAGGTTTAAGGTCAACAACAACAACCAATCAAGATGGAGGTTAACAGAACAAGCTACAGGTCAGACTACGTGGAGAAATTCGAACATACTTCACTTCTTCTGTCTGAAGTTTGTGCTGATGATGTTGTAGTTCAGAAGAACAATGATGAAAGCTTCATAACCAAAACAACCAGCTCAGAGAACCAAACACCACCACCACAAAAGTAACTCAACAATCTCCACAACTCCTCTCATACAAATTATCTAGATAAAGTTAACTTTTCAGTCAGAGTTAAAAATTCTTGTTTCAATTATCAACGATACACTTTATAAAAACCATGAAATTATCGCAAACCAATTTTAATTGTCTGTTTTGTAGCAACAGATTGTTCGCGTCTACTACTACTACTACTACTTACTACACGTTGAATATGAAATACAATTATAATTGCATTGTTTTTTTCAACAGAATCACAAATTTGAATAATTATTTTGAAAAATTAATTTTACATAATTGGTGAGTTCCGTTTTGTTAGAGAATAAGTTAAAATAACAATAATGATGCCCTAATTTCCCACTGAAATCATGAATCATTTATTAGTTAGACCATGATTGGAATTATGGCTTTTAATCCCAGTATGAGCTTCATGAGGAAATTCTCAGAGTCTCAGTGAGAAGCTGTGAATAGGAGAGTTCAACACTGTCAGGTGTAGACAGTTACCCGGCGAAGACATTGGGTGATTTTGCGATTTTCATTAGATCGATCAAAGCTAGATATTAATACCACTGGATTTTTGTTCAGTGGTCTTGAGGTTTAGCATTGGTGCGCAAGACCAAACGTATTGGGATCGATTCCCGCGTTGGTGGGATTCATGGATGGATATACACTACTGAAGAGTCCTATACTAGGAAGTAACAGTCGGACAGTGACTGCTTTCAGGTGTCTAATGATGGTTTCATGATTTCGATTGGAAACAACAATCTTCATAACATTATCATGAATTATACTTATGTTAAAAATGATAGTAATTTATATAGAGCTACTGATTTCTAAATAAGTAATCTAATATTCATTTAGAAATGGTTTTGTTTATCAGATTGTTAAGATTGTGACTGAAATTTGATCAATCCTGGTTGACAGTATGGGCTAAAGTTGATGGCCCCTAGAACTCAGTCACATATTAGTTGCTAACACGATTACATTTAAAGCAAAAAGGTACTGGATTCAAGTCTCTGCGGAGGGGACATCAACTCTGATGTGATGAAGAGTAATCCAGCTAAGAATAAGTCCTAGACTGGATGAAACACGCATCCTCTGGATATCACTGCTGGTCACATTCCATCTATTCTGTGTAAACTAATTGTTGGGGATGTTAGATCCCCAAAATTCGCTTGATAAATGCCTTATTTTGGTTTTCACGTTTGCCAGCATGGGCTGATCAGTTGACATTGAGATGTCAATTCCCACCAGGAAAATCCATGTCTGTGATTGGCTGCTGTGTATTTTAGTGTGCTATTTTCTTAACTGTCTCAAGGACGTTTCTATGTTGTATAAATAAACAAGAGTTGTATGCTTGATGGTACTGTGATTGCTGGATATTTGTAGAATATGCGTTCTACGCCTACAAAGCTCTTTTTACTCGCTTTGGGGATTCAAGGTAACCTACCTGGACGCTGGTAAATGTCTCGTTCGCGTTTATCGACTAAGGTCAACTCGTCATAGCTTCAAGCATACTAAGTGACGAATCCTACACTAATCTAGCAGGTATTAAAGAGCTTGTGACGATTCAGTCGAGTACAAATACAAATTTCTAACTAAACTGGTGGTAGAAGTTCGCTGATAGGAATCCTTTGATCATGGTTTCTTGTTATTAAACATTTATCAATTAGGTGTACTTCGAATGTCGAAGGAACTAATGCCTTGTGGAGGAAAGTTTGCATGTCTCTCAACTTCACAATCACAAACTCTAAAGCTGAGACATTTAGGTTGGCTGACTCTCTATAAGATAAACTGTGAAGCTAGGTGATACGGGATAGAATTCTGCACAAACTCTCTAAGATTACTGTTATAAACGATGGTTTTCATTTCAGAAAAGTCAAAATCGATCTTCGCCTACAGATTTAACTACCAAAATTTGGAAAAACCTGTTTATTCGAACTGGTTGGTATCACAGAATATAATTATAACGACAATTACAATGAAACTACTTCCCAACAGGAATTATATCGATTCATACTCTTTTGTTCAATGTTAAACTGAGTTCAGAACATGAAAACAATTAGACATAGTACTTAAAAGTTATTTATAAGTAGTAAGAATAAATAAACTCAAAAAACAAATGAGACCAACCTACCTATAATTTCCCCCGTCATAAAAAATAAACATAGACCACTAGCCAGGATTAACTTTCGTCGTGCATTTTTATCGACATGTACACCAATCGTTGCGTATTCATGACAATGATCAGCTGTTTTTGAAAAAAATAAACAAGGAGCGAGAAAGGAAATAAATTATAATTTTGTAAATGAATTTAACGAGCGAAATATTGAATTCCTTTGAGCTGAATAGTTTAATTAATGGAAGAGGATGCGGTCAGGGAAGAGCACTGGGTCTGATGAATAGGCAACATATCGAGGATAAGCCCTAATTTTGAATCCTCAAGACCAAAGGAGAAGAGAAAGACCATAAAAACACATTACTCTGAGAAATGGAGACAGACATGAGAGAAGAATGATCAACAACTGGACAGAACTAGAAGGAAAGGTCAAGAACAAAGTAGGTTGATAAATGGTGGTCGGCGGCCTATGCTCCATTAGGGGTGACAGGTGTAAGAAGTAGTAGTGTGGTGCTGTGGTGCGAGCTACTTATAAGTGGTATATGACGTGAGTGTCAACGTAATGTCTGGCAGCAGAAGATGGGGGAAGATCAAGAAAGGAAGAGTTAGAAAAAAAATGGAATTTGTATGAAACGCATGAATAGTGACAATGGATTGATGTTTTGCAACAGGAACAGTCCAGTTCGATATGATGAACTGATATTTTGCAAATGAACGATTTACGATATGGTTTTCCAATTTTACTGTAGTAGTAGGTAAGTAGTAGTGTTGTTCAAAACACCATTATATATTACATTGTTTGAAAAAGAATTGTATTTCCTAATATTAGTTCTTATCAGTTTATTGGGAAGATGTTGGCGATTTTAGATCCCCTGAATTGGCTTGATAAATATCTTGATTTTGGATGTATTTCATGTACCGATCAGTTAACCTTGAGACCACAGTTCCCACCAGTAAAATCCTTCGCTGTGATTGGTTACTGTGTCATTTCAGTGTGCTATTTTTGTGACTGTCCCAAGGACGTCTCTGTGGAGTATAAATAAACGCAATTTCAGTGCTAGGATTGATTGTATGTGCTGGCTGAGTGTTTGTAGAATATACTTTCTGCGCTATATCAAGACTTCTTGCTGGTACAATTGGGTCAGCGGATCAGAGTAGCCTACGTGGACGCTGGTTCATTGTTTTGCTTTCGTTATTCGACTAAGGTGAACCGGTAATATTTTAAGCAGACCTAGAGACGAGCGTAACAAAAGATCTTGTCTGCGATTGACTGTATTCATTCAGCATCAGCACGCAGACGCAACTGACAGTTCAAATTCAATAGTGGTAGAGATAGTTGAAGTATTAGCAGTAAGCATAGAGATTAGAGTTCAACGATATTATTCAAGAAGTAGAATCCAATTGGAATAGATCTGAGAACAGAATGATGAAGTTGATGAAGAGTTCACAAGATTAAGATTTGAGAGAAGCCAAAGAATGGATACACACACGTGCACCAGTTATCAATAGAATTTTAGAAAGATTAAAATTGTTTTGAATTAGACGTTATCCAATGTCCTAATTTATAATCCTTTAGGTGAAAGGGAAAAATGAAGGCCAAGGAACACATTATGCTGAGAAAGCGAGACAGATATGAGAGAAGAATGAACAGTAGTGGGATAGAACTAGAAAGGAAGGCCCATGACATAGTAGATTTGAGAATGATTCTGACGATTATGAGTGAACCAAGATCACAAAAACAACCATGGATTAGAGTATAAATACTGTTGTACTATGCCAGAAGATGTAGAACACTTTGTAGATCTGAGCAGCATCATTGATAAACAAAGTGGATTCGACGCGTAATTTCTACAATCAAAGAACATCTGGAACTCAGTATCACTATCAGCCAACGCTGAAGTTACAACTTTTAATACAAATGTCAGGACAGTTCTATTGTATGGAGTGTAAAGTTGGAGAACTAAGAAAGGTATCATCCTGAAGATACAACTGTTTATTAAACGTTATCTGTACAAGATACTGCTGATTCATTGGTCAGACACCATCAGCAACAACGTACTGTGGAAGAGAACAAACCAGATTCCAAGTGAGAAAAAAATTAGGAAAAAGTGCTGGAGGTGAATTGGACACATACTTAGGAAATCATTCAACTGCGTCACAAGACAAACCTTCACTTTGGGACCCTTAAGGTCAAAGGAGTAGAGAAAGATCAAGAAATGGAGACAAAACCAGAAAGGAAGGCCCACCAGGACAGAGTAGATATGAGAATGATTCTGACGACTATCAGTGAACCAACCATGGATTTTCGTGTGAAATTAAAAGCATTGTGAAATATTACTTGTTATTAATCTGTAAATAAAAATTTAGCAATTCTTGGTTCCTTAAATGATTAAAATTGAAGGAAAGAGTCTACTATACAATCCAATAGTCAAAATAACATGATTCTTAAGCTAGAATAGAAGAAATACTTGTATTAAATACAAGTCCAGTTAAAGAGCTTCATGAGTTTTCATAAAACAATCAAGGATTCGCTGATCTGTTCATAGAAGACATGTAGACAGCTTTCTACTGGTCAAAACCAAACCCCAATGGAAATCATCTGCTTATATGCAATATTGATCTATTAGAGGAGAGGTAATATGCTGAAAATATGTTAGATGTTGTATTCATGTACAAAGATAAGCAAGGGCGTGTTATATGTTAATCGACAAACTTCAATACTAATATCAAAACATGTCTTCAAAGTAAGAAATATTGACTGTTGGATACAAACTCAAAAGTTTAAATCTTAAATTGTTTGCCAATAAACTGGAAGCTACTATGTTTGATCCCTTTTTCAAGGTCTTAGTTATATAATGTAGAAAAGTTCCAAACAGGATGTAAACATCTGTGGACTATTTGTCATTGAAATCATGAACCGATCAAAGTTAAACGATCAATAAAAGCTTGGAAATACTAGATGGCGGTTTATTTATAGTATGAGACTCTTCAGTAATGAGTAATCATGAACCTATATAGAATTGGATTCATAATTTTTGAGTGATTGCGTTTATACCTCACTGTCTTTTCGCGCATCATACTATCATGGAGATCGTCAATGAATCATTGTTGGAAACCACTATTAGAGACTTGGAAGACATTCACTGATAGTGTGCATCCAGTACTCTCGCTACTTGTAGAATTCGAAACTAGGATCTTCGGTCTTGAACGTGAACATTTAACCCCTGGTGTACTTTGCCAGTATCCAACAGTGTTAATGTCGAACTGTGATCAGTCTAAGGATGTTGCACAACCTCATCCATTTTCTTCTAGTTCTATTAAGAAGACATGACTAGTGAAGTTCAATCTTGTCAGATGTAGGCAGTGACCTACCGAATACAATGGATGAGGTTACTCAAAATCCTTAGATTGATGAGTGTTAAACATGAACACCGCCGAATACCAGCTCAGTCGTTCAGAGATCAAACATTCGCGCGCAAGACCGAAGGTCTTCGGGTCCGTATCCTGTAAGGAGCAAGAGTCATACATACACATTCACGTTGAATATATGATGTAAGCATAATTCATTTCAACAAACCATAAAGTCGAAAGAAACTAGACTCACCCGTATACATTGAATTAAAACAATATTCATCTATTTAAATCAAGACAATTTGTAAAAAAGAGTTGGAAGAGTTGTGTGTTTGTTTTTCTCTATGCGGGTACATTTTATCGATTCATGAGAAAAAAAAAGAAGAGACGTGCTAATATCGAATATATCGATATGTGTACGATCGATACTGTACTAAAACAATCAACACCATTTTCAATGTTGAAGGGTTTTCATCAATAATAATAATAATCATAAAAGAAGGTGTATAAAGGGGTTGCTTCACGTCGTAAATAAAATTTATGATTTATTTAGTATACTTATACGTGTCGTACGCTGACGTTCATTACGTAATCAATGTCAGGATTCACTCTAGAAGTTCATGTTTTATCAAGCTAAATATATATATGATTCATAGCTTAATATGAAATCATGAATCATGGAGTTATTGTTAATACAATATTAGAAATTTGAAAACTCCGATTTGTTTCGACTTAGTACGACATTCTGTTGGGGATGTTAGATCCCTTGAACTCGCTTGATAAATGCCTTATTTTGGATTTCACATTTGCGAGCATGGGCTGATCAGTTGACATTGAGATTTCATTTCCCACCAGGAAGATCCATGGCTGTGATTGACTGCTGTGTATTATAGTGTGCTATTTTTGTGACTGTCCCAAGGACGTTTCTATGATGTATAAATAAACGAGAGCTGTGTGATTGATTGTATTGAGATTGCTGGGTGTTTGTAGACTTCTGTTTACAGCTTGGGATTCAAGGTAGCCTACCTGGACACTGGTAAAAGTCTCGTTCGCGTTTATCGACTAAGGTGAACTCGTAATAGCTTCAAGCGTACCTAGTGACGAATATAACACATTCATCAGAAGTGGACAATTGCGATACCCGCATCAGGGAATAGAACACAAGACTTTCAGTATCATACACAGGAGTACTTCACATGCAGACCACTGAACGGGCATCCAACGGTGTATAACATATTGTACATCCTCATACATTGTCTTAAGTAGACAACTGCTTACACTCGACAAGAGTGAACTCCACTAGTCATGTCTCCTCACTAGAACTACTCTGAGAATTCCATTACGAAGAGCTAGTCGCTAGTGAGAACAACAATCTTCATAACATTACGGGGTTGTGAAGATTGTTAAGTTACGCATTTTGAAACTATGAATCGATCACTGTTAGACCAGCATTAGAAACCTGGAAGCACAAGTGGACGGACGTTTCTTCCTGGTATGTGACTCATCAGTGGCAGTGCGTATCCACGACTCCTGTATCCCGCAGGATTCGAACCCGGGACTTTCAAGAGTGATGAAAAATTCTTAATGCGGTAAATGCTTAGATACGTACCGATAAGAAATGTTTTAACAATTCTAGACATTATATTAGCCTTCAACTATTAGATGCCTGACCGAGGTCAAACAAGGTTGCTTACTCTCACCCTTTCTCTTTCTCCTGGTCATCGACTGGATTATGAAGACGTCAGCATCTGGAGGGAAGCACGGTATCTAGTGGACAGCTAGGACACAGCTGGACGATCTGGACTTCGCAGATGATCTGGCTCTTCTATCTCACACGCAACAACAAATGCAAGATAAGACGATCAGTGTAGCAGCAGCCTCTGCAGCAGTAGGTCTGAACATACATGAAGAAAAAAGTAAGATTCTACAATACAATACAACACGAGTCAACCAAATCACTCTTGATGGAGATTCCTTGGAGGACGTTAACTGCTTTACATATCTTGGCAGCATCATCGACAATCAAGGTGGATCCGATGCAGATGTGAGGGCGCGAATTGGCAAAGCAAGAGCTGCATTTCAACAGTTGAAAAATATCTGGAAATCCAAACAACATTCAACCGAAACCAAAATCAGGATTTTCAATACAAATGTCAAGACAGTTCTACTGTATGGGGCAGAAACTTGGAGAACTACGAAAGGCATCATCCAGAAGATACAAGTATTCCTTTAGAGTTGTCTACGCAAAATACTTCGTATTCGTTGGTCAGACACCATCAGCAACAACGAACTGTGTGAGAGAACAAACCAGATTCCAGTGGAGGAGGAAATCAGGAAGAAGCGGTGGAGTTAGTGGAAAGGACACACACTGCGAAAAGCACCTAACTGCGTCACAAGACAAGCCCTTACATAGAACCCTCAAGGCAAAATGAAAAGAGGAAGGCCAAAGAACACACTTCGCCGACAAATAGAGAAAGATATGAAAGGAATGAAAAAAAACTGAACAGAACTGGAGAGGGAAGCCCAGGACAGAGTTGGTTGGAGAAAACTGGTGGGCGGCCTATGTTCCAATGGGGGAGGAGAAGTAGAAGAAGAATGATATCCACACTCAAGTATAGAACTTCCAAAACGTCAAAACACTGCCAACTCATGGTATATACTTTCAAAGTAGACTTTATCAACTACGAATCCTACATTTGTATTTTCGGTTCATCTGTTCTCCGTGTCTTAACGAAACATTCTTTAAAACTTATGTGATGTAACAGTAATAAAGTCATCAGTTGATCATTGGTTAGACCACCACTAGAAACATGGAAGCACTAGATGGCCGTTTCTTCCTACTATGGGACTTATCAACTCGCGGAAATCGAAACAGGACCTGCAATCTTGCGTACGAACACTTAACCACTTAGCCAACCTCCAACAATGTTAATGTCTAATTTTCTATTAGTTCACGATCTTGCGCAACCTCATTCACCTTTTTAATGGTAGGCGCATTGATCGATTCATGGTTTCAATGAAACTCAACAGTTTCCACTTTTTTTTCGATTAATTTACAAACAGAAAGACTAAATTCCAGATAACAGTGCTTCAGTGAAATACACTAATTTTCATCAAATAAAACTATTTATTTGTCGAAATTAGATGTATACTACTTGCAAAGTTTGAAATTGTTTGGTCAACATTTTCTCTTCGTAAGGTTGTTTCTTGCTGGATGAGACTGCCTACCCTACACCCGATCCTTACCTTTTATTCGAGATTAGGACCGGCTATAACCTCAGAGGGACTTCGGGTTCAATTTGAGATAGACATCAAAAGACGGGATAACACTTGGGAACAACTGGAAAGCAGAGACCATGACAAGGGTTAGTCAGAGAACCTTGGTTGACAACTTATGCTCTATGAAGAGTAGCTAACTAATTTCCAGAATATCAAGCTTATAAGTTAACAGATTCTTTTTTTTCAAAAGTTTAAACGATGTTCACTATTAGTTAAATCCGATTTCCTTCTTTTCAATATTTTAATGCCATAAGTTTCCTTTCTATTCTGCATTGAACAATGAATGAGTGAAAAGGTCAGATCAGAATAATACACCGTTGTATCTTGGCACAATTGATTGATAGTGTGGTCATAATTTACATTGACCTTATTGCATAACTCTAATAGAGCTTTATGACCATTAGTTTAAGTTGGTTTAACCAAGTTTGACCTACTATTTTCCATGTTGAACTATTGACATTAACTTTTATCTTTATTCTTACACCTATCCTCTTACTATCAACTTGTACTTTTACCTATTGGTGTGGTGACGTTATCTATTTCATTTAGAGTATTATGGAGATGATCATTGTTAGACCACACATTAGAAACTTGGAAGCACTGAAAGACTGTCGTTTCATCCTGGGTATGGAATTCATCAGTAGTGCACATCTACGACTCCTGCAACTCGTGGGACGATTTCAGTGATTAGGAAAAATCATTATTCGCTCACTAAAATTATTCAAGCTATCATATTGTCTCTGTGTGTGTACGTTCATGTCATGTACCCATGGGGCTTGAACCTATTTTTACTCAATATTCCATTCTTCTCGAGTCATCTGTTACGTATGCCCAACCACCGACTGCCACGACGAGCTATGTTTTGTGGTGTAGGAGTAGGTTGGAAGAACGTTAGGGGCGGCCAGACCAAAACATGCAACAAATCCATGAAGTCACTGACAAGTGGACTGAGTCATGTTGGTAGGTGTAGACTACTTGGTTGGGGTCCGTGAGACGTAAGTCACCGATGTTTAGAGACCTTGAAAAACCACATGGCTCAGAATCGTTTGCAATGGCGCAGGTGCATCCACTCTTTGTGTGCTTTTTAATTCTAACCTTCTAAATTCCTCATAATCTCTATCTTTCTCCTTCTAAATTTATCTCACTGAATCATATCATATCTTCGCTCCCTAATCTTCTCGATTGCTGCTAATATACTTCAACTATCGCTATCACTCTTGGATTTGAACTGACAATTGCGTCTCTGTGCTAATGTGTTGGTATGGCAACTTGAACTAATCTACTCATGTACGAAGTTCTTCGTTGTATCTGTCTGTCTATCTGTCTTCTCGAGTCATTATGCACACATCTCCTTCGAATATATCAATGATTCATTGATATAGTTGCTTATTTTTACTTCAGTGCGTATGTGCAAAGCCAATTTTTGCCTGAATATCATATCCTTAGTCATGGCTCATGGCCCCGCTCCATGTCGACTCATTTTGTTTATACGTTTTCCGTTATCATGTATGTCTGTTTAAAGGAGCTCATTAAAATAAATTCATCCGCGAAATAGTATTTGGCCCTTTTTTACCGCCGTCGCACAAACAAGAGTTCATCTAAGTATGATACAGTGAAATTGAAAGGGAGATTTATTTCAATAGCGCAACTTATCATTGAGTTAATGATATCCACTGTGATAGTAATGAACTAAAGAATTTCCTCTCAATAAATCTGATCATAATTACAATTGATATTTATATCTTGAAAAGTATAACTTACTTAAAGATGGTTGACTAGGTAGAGTAGAAGTTGATCTAAATTAATTACAGAGAAACAAATGAAAAGTTAAGAAAAAAAAAGCGATATAAACATGAATAACTTAAAAAGTTAAACGATATCATAACTGTTTTTATGACTGACTTACAGAGATTGTTTGTTTTTGATTGAAATTATGAATCGTTGATTGTTAGACCACCATTAGAAACCAAGGTGCAGGAGATGGCAATTTCGTCATGGTAGGGGACTCTTCAGTGGTGTACATGCACGACCTCCAACTGCTCATAGGAACTGAACCCAGTAGCCTCTGTCTCATGCGCGATAGTTCAACCACTAGATCACTGAGCCAAGCATCCAATGGTGTAAATGTCTAACTTTGATAGATCTAAGGATTTTGTGCAACTGCCTATACCAGACGAGGTTATTCTCCACTGGTCACATCTTCTCACCAGAACTATTCCTAGAATTTCCTCACGAAGCTAGTCACAAGTGAGTACATTTAAGGATCACTGTTTTACATTGAAATCGAGAATCAATCATCGTTAAACTACTAATCTATTCAGAATATTGACCATTGAACAATCTAACTACCCACTAGTTTATACAGCTCAGGATTTGCTTTTATACTATTGTGGTGCAAGCTACTTATAAGTAGCGCAGTTGTCATCTAATTTAGATGAATTCATGATTTCATGTCATACTGTGGTGCGCACTACTTATAAGTAGTATATGACGTGAGAGCCAGCGTAATGTCTGGCAGCAGAAGATGGGGGAAGATCAAGAAAGGAAGAGTTAGAACACAATGGAATTTGTATGAAACGCATGAATAGTGACAATGGATTGATGTTTTGCAACAGGAACAGTCCAGTTCGATATGATCGACTGATATTTTGCAAATTAACGATTTACGATATGGTTTTCCAATTTTACTGATTAACTCTGTAATTTTCGTTAAATACAATTCGGTTGCCCCACCTGTGTTCTCGTTCACAACACTATGAGTTATAAGCTGAATTATTGTGCTACTGACATAAGACCAGTTAGGTAATCATTGTGAACCCGAGATAAATATTTTATTCTATTTTCAGAAAAAGGAATTCTTCATCAGTAAAATTTATCAGTAAATAACTACTACACACAGAGACATTTTCATATCTTATAAAAAGTGTGTACTAACCTATGTTTAGAGATATTTCATGAGTATTAACGTTGAGTAAAAATTGTTTTTTTTTGACCAAAAATGTCAATGGAGCGTTGAAAAGTTGTCTTGTTTAACTAACTCACCAGTGATAATTCTCTTGACTGTTCAAAGTACGAAAAAAAGTGTAATCTCCTTGAGTGAATTTACTTTTATCTTACAATCTCCTTATTCAAGATTTTTAATGAAAGGGTTGTAGAGATTTTGATGAGTCTTTTTATGAAATCATGACTCGATCAATGTTAGACCAGCATTAGAAACTTGGAATTACTCACTGAACGGCCGATTCGTCCCGGTATGAGATTTATCAGCAATCACAATCAACGAACCCTGCTCGCGGGACTCGTGACCGAAGAATTCCTGTATCATGCGTGCACTCTTAACGTTTAGGTCACTTAACTGGCATCCAACGAACGATGTTGTTGTCTAACTTTAATCAATCTAAGGACTTTGCTCAAAATATCCCATTGTCCTTAGAATATAACTGCCAACACCAGATAGAGTTGAAATCCACTTGCCACGGCGTTCGCCCATGAGATCGAAGGTTATGGGTTCGATTCCCGAGAGCGGGAGTTGTGGATATACTCTGCTAAAGAGTCCCATACTAGAACTCGACGACTACCTCCCAGTGCTTACAGGTTGAATACTGAGCATATTTCTAAGGGAATTTATCATAATATTTCAACCATATATAATCGATGCTTGTAAGTAAAACAATGTAAAGATCGTTTTTAATGATATCTAATAAAATTTATCCAATTCATTATAATATAGATTTTTTTAAAACAAATACTACTGAATTAAAATAAACATACTACCAATAAGTAGTATTGATTCATATTTTCATATCTAGTAAAACATTAATTGAGTATCAATGATCAAAAAATATTTCTCCGCACAGTCTAAAGAATTATAATTTACCGCTCAAAATATTAAATTGACTCTCATTTATTTAGCTATCCAAATTACCATTTTGTGTACAATAATCAGTATTCTTGTATTTCCCTCAATGATATATTTTAAACCATTGATCCACATAACTTATCTGAACTAAAATACCACTAACACAGAATGACTGATTACATAACAATGCCAAACAAAAGAGTATAGTTTACATTGGTGAAAAATGCATAGAAGGGCATTCATTACCTTTGATGTTTCGGTGAAAATGTCAACTTATTGTTGATTGTTTCAATTTGATCTTTTTCTTGTTCATATCCATAATGATAATGATTATCTGTAGGTTCATTCATCATTTTAGTTGTTGATTTTGGTAAAATGTTATGTTTTTATGTCAAGTTTTGTTTGTTTGTTGGTTGTAAGTGTGAAAAACTTTTGTGTTCAATTTTATACTACTGAAGTAGTGATTAATAAGTAGTAGGTGTTGATGTCAAATTTACTTCATGTTTTATCATACTAGGTAGTGTCGTCATTCTGTGATATTCGCACCGATATGTACACACTTATATATATATATTAATATAAACCAATCATTTAACTGTTAGATTTTTCCCTATTATACTAGCCAGTGGCGTGATATAAGGGGGAAGAGACAAGTAATTACTTGTAAAGGGGAACAAAATGTATATCAATCAGTCACAAACCAGTTAAACAAGAAAATAATTGTTTACTTGTGATCATAATTTCCGATAGGAATTTGTATGTCTTTATATGTTTTTACAGAAATTATTATACATTTTTTGGAACCATGAATCGATCAATGTTAGACCACAACCATTAGAAACCTGGAAGCACTGGACGGCCGTTTCGTCCTGGTATGGGACTCCTCAGCAGTGCGCATCCACGAATCCCGTACCCCGCAGGATTCAAACTCAGGACCCTCGTTATTGTGCGCGAACGACCTAACCGTTAGATCACTGAGCTGGTATCTAACGGTGTTAGTGTATAACTTCGGTCAATTCACGGAGTTGCGCAACCTCATACACAGTCTTCGGTAGACACTGCCTACAGTCGAACAGATTGAACTTCACTGGTCACTTCTTACCACGAGAACTCGGAGAAGATTCCTCACGAAGCTAGTCACTGCTGAGGAGTCCCATACCAAGACGAAACGGCCGTCTTTCAGTGCTTCCAGGTTTCTAATGGGGTGGTCTAACATTGATCGATTCATGGTTTCAAAAAATGTGTAACTTAACAGTCTTCACGACCTCGTAATGCAGAAATTATTCTGTTTGTTTAATCGGTAGTGTACGTACACCTTATTATTTTAGTGACTGGGTTCAAAATTGAAATGAGTTGGAAAACAGTAAGAGACTTAGAAGCCTTCGAATGTATGAAACGAAATTCTTCCTTCCATGATAAAAATGTAGCTTCAGAAAACTTCAGGCGATTTCTTTTCTCAATACAATGAGTCGAAGTTTATTATTATTTAAACAAATTCATTTTTTGACAATCATTGTACTAGTGTCAAAAATAGCTGTTAAGAAACACTTTTAGCGGCTCACCACTGGACTCCAGTGTGAATGAATGATCGGTTTTAAGGTGAAATAAATCTTCCTCTCCACATCCGTATATCACGTACTTAGGCTAACCCCGTTTGTGCGATATTGGTAATAAAAAGCTGACTACGGTATCAAGGATGAATTTATTTCATGTAATCATTTATGCAGACAAACATGAGACTGGAATGCGTACAAGCAAAACGAAGTGAATTATTGGAGGAGGTGAGTGAGCCAACTCTCCATGAGCTGAAGCAATGACTAAGTAGTTATAGTCAAGCAACAAATAGGCTAGACATGTGATAAGTGAGTAAGCAAGCATCCACACGCACACAATCACATATACAATAATCGATACTGTAATCGAATTGATTACGAATACAAAATTATGGTCGATACGATTATCGGATAATTTTAATGACAAGTCATTGAAGTACAATGAATGAATGCTGAGATGCTACACACCTTCACCAAGACGATATGTACCTGGTATGCAGAAACCCTTCTGCCCTGAAACAAAGGTTTTCATTCAAATCTCGAGACACACAAATTCACAACCAACTGTCAACTGACTAGAATTAGACCGTCGAGTGTCTAGACCTTCATCCATTGGACATTACCGAACACCTGGAACCGTACCGAAAGAAGAAGAATCGAGAGCGAAGAACTCAAATTGGTTTACACTAGCGCGTGAAAAAAGATATTGGATGACTTATAATGTTCTGCTCTTTCTCAGGTAGTTTCTTCCATTTATTTCCCCATACTTTATTGTTAGAGCTGATATTTTAGTTTCGGTGATGACTATTTGATCGAGTAAGTTTCCGTCTGTCCAAGGCTCGTGACTTATTTACAGTCGAATACTGTCTTTTGTGACAAGGGCTGAATTAAAATATTCGGACTGACGGTTATTGGTTGTTTTCAATGGATTACCGGGAACTTTGTGAGTTTATAATACATTTGAGAGATTGTTGTGGTAGTTATGACATTGAGAGTGCCTAGAAATAGTGATAACATGGGCCATCATCTAACTGTTTACTGAAAGCTCAAATGTAGGTACGTTTCACACAATTCCCTGTGTCTCACTTTGTCTGGACATTCCACGCACCTATACTATACTGTGAGGGAAAGAATTCGCTGAAAGTTCCTTTGCAGTGTTTTTTAGTGGATAGTGTTACTAATTTCCTCCTCCTTGACCATGTTCTCGATTTAAAATTTGCTCGAAGCTCTTGCAATCGTGTCACTATTATTCGAATTTACTGAATGTTTATGATAGTGATCTTAACTTTGTCTTTACTTGTAACAAATAGATTCAACTCATTTCATGGTTACAACATGGTTCGTTTGATAGTTATTGACGCTTGATCACCTGCAAGAAGCCGCTACTCGATTCTTAGCAGATCGATATTTGATTCTGTCTTGTTGTAAATACCTTTGTTAAATCTCAGATACAACCAATAAAATTGGGTAGAGAGTTTATATTTTTATTTAATTTCATAAGAATAATTCAAAAGGGCTTTGCATACAGCAGAGACTTGTTCGATCTAACCGAATAAACTTCACTTTATCAAATCTGTGTTTAAACCGAAAGCTGAAAATGTGGTTGACAAACCAATTGTTGATCTGATTGTCAGTAAGGGAATGGGATCCTTAATTTCTGTAGAGTGTCACTATTGAGAGGACAGAACCTTTCGCATCAACGATTTTTTTTAATTGTGTTTAAACTCAGTTTTACTCCGTCTAGTGACTTTATTCGTGGTTACTGTATTTAGAATTTATAACACTCGTGAATAGACTTTGTAATCACTGAAATTATCTAGCTTAGGTATGAATGATATTTATCCTCGTCTTTTTTATATAAACTGTTGAAAATGACACCTTGCGAAATCGATCTACCTGTGAACTAAACTTTTAATTGTGGATCTGTGTCAATGCTGTTTCAGTAGTTCTGAATTGACATTTGAACACATTTAGGGTCAGAGTTTTAGTCTCAATTTTGTACATGAATATTTCAACATTTGGCTCCGCTGATGACAAATAATTATATTTTTTATGAATACCCCCTCAACTCCAAGAGCAGAGAGTGAATGATGACATAATTTTTTCTAGTAAGTGGTTTCTAGCAACATTCGTTTCCGCCAAATGAAGCCGCCAAACATATGCACAACCTTTTTTTCTTTATAAGAGTTTAACACCGGCAGTCACTCTTGAAGCACCACAGTAGGAGACATCGTTAAAATAACCTGTCAACATTACAGTAGTAAAATATACTTCCCATACATCCGTTGAACACATGTTTAGGTCTAAATATTTCCATTTTGTGATCTGAACCTCAATGAAAATCATTGTGAAGTAAGCCGCATTTCTCATCCGTTTTTCAGAGTAATGTTTATTTGTGAAGAGTTTTTATGAAACTAAATTATTTCCTTTAGTTGTATAGGTGGATGAGTTTCAGACACCTCACTAATTTTTCTTTTTTGAGTTCCAGAATTTTAAGCTTTATCTGTCTTTTTGGTCTGATGGAGGCGCATAGTTGATGATTGCTGACAATAAGTAAGAGACATTATACAGAATGCTGTTGTAGAAAATGTACGTCAGTCACGCCACACACCCGGAAACAGAAGAACATGGGTCAGGCAAGGCACTGAACGCTTGCCACATGCGAAGAGGAGAGCCTGGCATAGTTGGAAGGTCTCCATGAAGAATTCCGAACACAGTTCTTACTTCGCTTTGAGAAGCAGATGTAATACCAAAGCTCAAAGTGACAGGTGATGCTTTCAGATGGAGCTTGCTGTCAAAATACAGGCAAATCCTTAACATCTCTTTAGGTTCATGACTAAGAGAAAACCTACGAATCGGGGATTGTGTTTTCCAAGGCAAATGCAAATCTTCACTTTATGAGGAGACAAGTTGGTGCCATCACCCCTAAATTGTTCTTAACGCTGTTTAAGACATATGCAAGCCCACACCTTGAGGTTCACAAAGTCGTCTCAACCCCTCTCCTTAAAAGCGACGTAATTCTCTTGGGTCGAGTTCAGAGAGGAACAACGAAATATGTGGTAAAGTTGAAAAATAAAACTTACTAAGATAGACTACTACAATACGGATTATTTACCTTAAATTACAGGCGAACCAGAGGTGGTCTTATTATGCCGTACAACATATGAGCCAAGCCAAACCATCCCAACGCGAATATCTTACCGCTGCATCACCACCACTCCCCTTCGAGGGATTACTCCAAAAATTTTACATCAAAGAGCGAATACTCAGGTTCGTGCACACCTTTTCTCAGTGCAAGTCATTGCAACTTGGAATGCTCTCCCAGCCGAGGTAACCACAGCCCCCTCAGTAGACAGCTTAAAGAAGAGACTTTATAATCACGTACTGACATAAGGATTATCATCTCCCTCTTGGACAAGCTGTCCATGATGCATATCTTGAGACCAGCTAGTTGTTATCACTGCCATCTCCTCAGATCGCTCAATTAATCTATCTCGCCTATTATCTCTGTTTCCTCTCCCTTGCTTATACTTCGGTCCTCTCTCACAATCTTCACTACCAATGAATAAACTAAATCATCTGTTTACTTATCTCTGAAATCCTCTTATTAGCACTAGGATTTTCTCATTATTCCCCACATTGCAACTAACTGCTCTCCGGTCTGGCAATGTGATGGCTGCTGGTATCCAGAAATCTTACTGCCCTAAAACAAGAGTTTTTAATCAAATCACGGGGCATGCGAACTCACTAATAACTGCCAACCGACTGGAATCAGGCATTCGAGTGGCTGGACCCCTATGCATTGGTCACTACCAAACAACTGGAACCGTACCTAAAGGACAAGAGTCAGTCAATCAGATGAAACATAGAACTTCGTACGTAAGTACATCAGTTCATGTTGCCATACCACCAAATTAGCACAGAGATGTAATTGTCAATTCAAATCCATTAGTAGTAGTATAGGTAGTTAAGGTA